TTTTTTTCTAATTATTCATCTAGGTGAAATTGATACATTAAATGAAAAATATCAAGCACAAGCATCTATTGAAGCTCGTTGGCCAATGGAATTAAATAAATTATCTTTACATCTTTCAAATGATGATCAAAAACGTTTAATTGATGGAAAATCTATTTCACTTTCTAACTATATACAAACAAATTGGCATCCACAACTTTATATTGAAAATACTTTTGGTGATTTAAAAGAACAAATAAGATATACTGCTAAAAAATCAAAAGAAAATAATCATATATATATATGTGAACATCGTGATATCAAAGGTTTATTTTGGGAAAAACTTGAACTCCATCATTTTCCATCAGATGTTCAAGATTTATCAATATCTATTGCATCAATGTTTTATGATGATAAAGTTATTTTATTAGCTGATCCAAATCATTTGAGTGGTGTAAATCGAGAAGCATTTGTTGATCAACAAGAATGGTCTCTATATGAACATGTTGATACTCAACAAAGATTTATTAAAGAATTTATTTTTGAAGATAATGATGAAGATGAAGAAAATGATGAAAATATTCAATTAAATTATAAAAATAATAATGAAAATCGAAAACGTTCGATTTTAACAGTTACTTGTCATGCTGGTTTGTATTATAAAATGCAAAGGAAAAGAAGAAAAAAAAAAGTTTTATTTTTGTTTTTTATATAGCTCGTCGTTCGAATTATTTCTATTGGAATGGATATAGTCTTATTTTATTAATAACTTTGGCATCTTTTTGTATATTTGCTATACCACCACAGTTAGTTATTCTTAATGAATACTTTTTCCTTAAATAATATTTTTAAATTAATAGTTTTACAGGAAATCGAATTCAAATCTCATGTACACTTCTGTTAACTTCAATAACATTTCGTTGGACAATGAATCGATCACTTGTATGTCAATTGATTGCTTGTTTGTGTGACTGTGAAATGCTTTGCTGAAATTTGTTTTTCTTTTTTTTAATTATTTAGCCGACTATTTCATATTTAACAACAATGGATAAATATGCAATAATGTGCATATTTCATCTTGTTATTCATTGTATTTGGCATGCTATTATTGGTTTCCTCATATTTAGAAATACAAGTGATGCAGTTGTTACATCGAAAACAGGGTTAGCAAGTTTAGATCGGTATGCTTTTTGTATTGGTATGAGTATTTTCATTGGTATTCATATTATATGCCTTATCTGGCTGATTTTTGTGCCACTCAAACATCGTAAAAACATGGCGAAGAAGGATATTCAATATGGTGTGTCATTGT